ACAATTCATTATAACTATTCGGTACAAGAATTATTTTTCATTAAATATATAGGTCCAATATATCACAAAAACAATAAATGCAAAGTGTCGGAAAAATATTTCTGAACACTTGACCCGGTCCGGCCTCACTTGACCCCCGAAAAATATATGTTGTTTGAACGCGTTTAATCGGACAAAAACTGAACACATGAAAGTACCGGTATCCAAAATAACTCCCAACGAAAGAAATGACATCGAAAAATGAATCCCGTACCCGAGAAATTGTCCCGGACCTACACATCGACTTCCTGGGTTAAAAACCCTAAAATGGGGGAAATGGTCCGAAGTACATTTCTAAGAATTCATGGCTCGAAGTACAATGAAAAAGACATCCGTACAAGCATCCTAACCACAATCGGACACACGACGACAACGTCCCTTGATTACACAAAAGTTCTTCTATGAAAAATATCTTAAAAGAAAATCGCACTACTGCCTCAAAATAAAATATCTTCCAAAAGATAATTACATAAAAATCACAAAATAAAAATATCTCCAAAAGATATTCACACTAATGCCACAAAAGAAAATATCTTCAAAAGATATTTATATAAAGACCCCCAAAAATGAAAATGTTCCCAAAATCTAACTGCACAAATACCCCCACAAAACATAAATTAAACGGCATGTAAATGTTATGCAAACCTACAATGCTATGGGGGTAAATGAACAAGAATAAGTGAATGAAGTGCCGGGAATCATTCCCGAACACTTAACCTAGTCTTGGGCACGCCCACAAGGCCCGAAGACGGAAAAGGAATAAAATAATAATTAAAAAAAATAACTGAAAAAAAAAAGATAACACGGGCATCACAAAATCAATAGTAAAGAAAGAAAAAAAATAAAAGGATTAATTGCACTCTCACCTCCTAAGGTCTCGGTTAATGTTACTCAAATACGGGTTAACGTTTCTTTTTTAACAATGACACCCCTTATGGTTTCAAATGTCATATTTGCCCCTGATTGTTTAATTCAATTAGTTTACAAAATATCAACTATATTAATTGATGAAACTACCCTCATCATTAAGCCTCTTTATCTACCCTAATCTCTATTTTTATGTTTTTTTGGCTTCATTTTAGTAACTAGCCGCGAACACTCCCTCTATCTCATTCCCCTTTCTTCCTATATATGTTAATTTTTTGGGGGTAAATTGTAACCCTTGTCATTCTTCTCGCCGGTGGAGGAGCTACTGGTGGCCGATGAAGGAAAACGTAACTAGCGGTGGATGAAATAGCGAATAAAACAAGTTAATTCGCAGAATTTGGGGGGAAAATATTACAATGTGGTGGTTATGGTGTTGTTGGATTTGTGATTGAGATGAGTAAGGGAAAGAAAATGGATGTGAGATGAGAGAAGATAATTGGTGGGAATGGTGAGATAAAAACAGCTATCACTGTTTGTTATTTATTTATTTTTTGTTCTATTGTTGTGCTGCTTGGTGATGGTGGTGGTGTTTGGGTTAGACATGGCTGTTTTTCTTTTTTTCTTTTTTCTTTTTTTTTTTCTTTCTTTTTTTTTTTTTTTTCCTTATTGTGGTGGGTCTGGATTGGCCATGGCTGTTTTTAATTTTTTTTCTACTCTGGAGTCTCTGGTAGTGGTTGTTGGTGTTGTCTGGGTGTGGTTGTGTTGGTGTTTAGATTATCAAGATGTTTCAAAATTTTTATTTTTATTTTTTCTACTGTGGTGGTGGTGGTGGTTCTGGTAGCATTTCGATGTGTTGGTGGTATTATCTTGGTGTGGTGATTGTTTTAGTGGTGTTTGGAACATATAAGTATGGGTTAGTCATGAACTTTTTCAATATTTTTTTCCTACTGTTGTGGTGTTGGTGGTTATGGTGGTATTTTGGGTGTAGTTGTTGTGGTATACAATTATCTAGCTATTTCAAAAAAAAAGAAAAAAAGAAAAGAAATAATAATAATAATAATTAATTTTTATGTTGTGGTGGTGGTGGCGGTTTTTTCTTGGCGTGGTGGTATAAGTATTGTTATATATAAATTATATTTATATGTATAGAAGAGATGAAGATGTTAGTTTGGTCCATTAAATTTAGTTAGAGGTTAAATTTGTAATTTCATGATTCAAATGAAATTGTTAACAAGTTAAAGGGTTAAAAGGTAATTTTATATGGTCTCGGAGGGTTGGAGGGGGTGTCAATATACATTTTTAAAAAATCAGGAGGTGCCAATGTAAAAAAAATTATTGACTTTCTGTTGAGTGGTGTTGACCAAAACTTCAAGAATGTCAGTACAGTTTACCCAAAATATAAAAGAGGATAAATTTAGAGTTAAAAAGAGTATTATATATGTATAAAAGTAGAACATATCATATCAAATTCATGGATAATGTGAACACTCTAAGTAGTTAATAAAGTTTTACACAATATTACATGGGCATAAGCATGGGTCAAGGTTTGGATACATAGTTTTGGAGTTACAAAATCTCCAAATTTATCGACATACAAAATAAATAAATAAAGGAAATAACCTTTTTTGTATCAAACACTGATCAAATTGACTGGATTTTCATTTTTCATTAATAGTGTAACAAGCAAAACATAATAAGAGAATTTTATGTAAAAGTTTTATACTAAATTTGAAATATTGACTATACATTAAGATTCCATTTGTTTGAGCAATTTTTTTTTCGGTGCTTGGTAGTCCCAAATTCAAAAAAAAAAAAAAAAAAAAAAAAAAAAAAAAAAAATCTTTTAAAATAATTTTTCAAAACTTAACCAAAACAACTTACCAATTAATCATCTGAAAATCGTTTTTCGAGCCTATAAATTTCACTCTAGATCTCATCAACAAAAGCAAAAGACATCGAAAACGTCAATCAAATATGTGGAAGAGTTACATAGTGGCCAAAAAGCAATCTAGAGAGAGAGAGAAAGAGGAAGTCTAGAGAAAGAAAGAAATAAGCTATTTAATAAAGAGATTTTAGAGAGAAAAAGAGATGAGTCATTTTACATGTGCTATATTGACGGAAAATAAAACAATTATTAAGAGAAGAGCCAATATGCCAATACCTATTGTGTGGTAAGAGGAACGAGGCCAATTTTTTCTTTAACAACAATCATATAATTTTTAATTTTTGGTTTCTTCAATTTTCAATCTTATTATAATTTTTTTCATCATTATTGGCTTAGTGATTAACCTATAGTATAACTTTCAAAATCTTAAAATTTGAAATGTAAAGTGGAGAGAAAAAAAAAACTCACTTGTTGCATTCAATGATACTGATAGAGAGACTTGTTTCGATTTTCTTATTATTTTTCAAAAATTAATTGATTATATTTTGATATTTCTTGTCTATTAATTATTAATATTGATATAAAAATAATTGGAGCAATTGATAGTAACAGAAAATTGGCATTTGTCTTCCCCTCTAGGAGTTAATTATATATTAAGGCTAGTTTGTAATGTGAGAATGGAATGAAATAAAGTGGAATAGAATACTTTTAATTTCATTCGTTTGTTTGGAAAGTAATTTTAAGGAGGGAATGCCCATTTCCCACCATTCTTAGAGAATGGTCATTTCATTAAAATCATTCCAATTCCTAATTAGAGGAATGGACATTTCATTAATACTTAGAAAATAGTGAGTAAAAATAATATTAAAAATTACTTTGCTTGAAGTGTTAAAGGCTATCAACAACCAATCCAAAATCAGCCCAAAATTAACCATTCATGTATAATTTTTTTTTTTTTTGTTGAATTAGGCTGTATAAATTTTTTTTTTTTGAAATAATATGAATTAGGCTATAGAATTTTTTGGGAGAAATTTTAGGAAAGGAAGTTCGTTGGCAATTTGCATCAATTGACTAAGAAACAAGAGTTAATTTCTATTTCGATGAAAGAGATTCAATAACTCATTCATAACTAAATAATAGAACGAGAGAGAATAATTATTACATTCCCATTTCATCAACTAACGTGGTGCCCAATTTTATTTATTTATTTCATTTGTTGCAAACTGGCTGGATAAACTTGCAACAGAGTTTGGTCAAACAAAATATTAAGTAAAAATTAATAATAAAAAATTAATAATTGAATTACTGGGCACTAATTTTTTTATTATTATTATTACACAAATTTAACAGCTCCGAGGACGTTCTAGTGCGTGGGAAAACAGTAAACACAAAAGACAAGCAACCCTGCCGACAAAAACTGTTCGCAGAAGACAATTGCATTCGAAATTGACCCCTCGTTCTTTAATAGATTCAAAACAAAGGAATAAAGAATATGAATACTTGATGCAAAATTGTCCAATGGAATGGGTGAAGAGTCCAATTATATATATATATATATATATTCTGAGATAGTTGTTCAATTCTTATATTATCATTTATTTTTCAATATAAGCAATTGATTCTCTGGCTTTGATCTTTTTTGGAGGAATAAGGGCCAAGTGAAAAACAGTCCTCAAACTTATTTTGTCATAATAAGTCAGCCAATTGCTTCAGATTATGTTATGTTCTCAATTGCCTTAAAGTCATAAAGCCAATTGAATTATAGCTTTCTAAATTATTGGAAGAGTAAATATATAATCCCTAGTAAACCACTAAACCTTCACTTGATGTAATCTCTATATAGTATGTATCTAGAAATCCCACAACTTGTCCTATCTCATTAATGCATCTTTTATGCATTTGCCATTGTTATGTGCCAACAATCATGCCTCCACATCCATCTATTCTAAATAAATATATATATAATAACTATATATATATATAGTTATTATATATTTTGCAGCAAATATTTCGTGACTTTATCTCAGAAAGGAAGCAATTAAAGTTGGAAGCTAGAGACAATAACTTTGTGCAATACTGTCAAAAGTAAGCTCATGAATTTAGGGAAGGGAAATATATAAGATAATGAATTTCTTTGATTAATTTGTCTTTGATAAAAAAAGACTAAATGAACTCAAGTATAACCAAAAGAGAATTTACCGACCGTTGGGAAAAAGATAAACTAAACTAGAAACCATTAAATAATAATAGTTGAACCTAATAATAACCAAAAGAATTTACTAAAAAGAGTTGCGACTCTCTCTCTATAAGGCTGGCTCATAGACCACGTGTGTTTCAGGTAGCCATTCGCTTCCCCGGAGAAAGGCTTCCACTGTGAACTTCTGGGCCTGGTCTGTTGTCAATTGGGAAGTAACTCCAGCCCATTTAACCCTTTTATCCACACTCGATCCCGGGCCGGTATTTTGGTACTCGCCGTAGAAAATGGTCTTGGGTGGTGCGACACCTTTGACCCATTCGATCCAGCCCGATGGCTGCAAGAGTGACCCAATATAGGTCTGCATTATTACCGCGGTGGAGTAATCCTTCCAAGGCCTGCCAAGGTATGTTGGGACTGTGACCTTGTCCAGAGGGCTGATGTTACACTTTTGAATAGAAATGCCCGAGTTCATATTATCTTCTTTCTTTCCCTGAGCTGTTATGGTCACATATTGGTTCTCCATGGGCTGCCTGGGCTGGATTTTGCAGTTCTGGAAGACAACTGCGGCATTTCCGAATATGAAGTCGACGGTGCCGGTTATGTCACAGTCGCGGTAGAATTGACGGTTGGAATGGGCGTACAGAGTGTCCTGGAAGGCATCAAAGGAGCACCTGTAGAACACAGACGAATCGGAACTTGACCTAAAGGCAACAGCCTGGTGCTTCTGTGGCCCTGCTGTGTTCTGGAAGGTAATGTCCCTTGCAAAGAAACCCTTTCCCTCAACAGCTGATAGTCACACAGCAATTTATGTTATTATGGCCGGCCATATAATGTGCGACAATGCAATTAAACCATAATAGTAAATAATTCAATGATGGGGAATATAATACAATATATAAATAAATAAAAACTATAGTTAGGAAGTGAGAAACTACCAAAGGTGGCTGTATGGAAGGTCGCAGTCCCATCCATAAAGTTGGTGCTGCCGGAGATGATGGTCTTTCCCTTGCCGTCTCCGTAAATCATCACATTCCACATAGACTTCTCCACTTTCACATTCTCCACATACTTTCCCGCCTTCACATATATCACAAACCTCGTCTTTGACTTCTCCGGAATCATAGCCACCGCCTCTGTGATCGTTTTCACATCTCCACTGCCGTCCTGCGCCACCGTCACACTCGGCGTCAGTTTCGTCTCCTGCAGCAGCCTCCAGTTACCGGAGTTCACCCACCCTGGAATTCCCAGAAGCTTCCGATGAGCCGGAATGTTTAAATCCGAAAGAATACCCAAAACCTTAGTCACAATCGCCAAACTATTGCTCGAAAATTCGACCGAGTTTTTTATCAAACCGTTCAATTCATTGTACAGAGTGGTGGCAGTTGTGGAGTTCAATTCTTGTAGAGCGTCCAAGCAAGTGTCGTGATATGTAAGTGCCGAGGTCAACCATGTCCTCGCGTCCTCAATTCTGGACGGCGACAGCAATTTCTCACCGTCGTTCACCGCCATTAATGATATGGAATCGTTGAGGCTATCGACAGCGTCTTCAAACACGCTCCGACAAACAATCAACGCTTTCTTGGCTCGTTCGTCGCTGATCTTGGAGATCAATGTATCAGGCAATGAAGACACCTTCACGAGCTCGTTGAGAGCCACGTGCAGAGACAGCTTGAAGATCTCTTTGGGGTCGGTGGTGGGGTTGGAAGCTTCCAGAGCTGAAATGCTCTTGAAGCAAGAATCTGGGTACTGGGTCACGTTACAAACCGCCTTGATAGACGCAGAAGGTGTCATCGGGGAAGCAGAGACTCCGTCGGAATTGGAGTTGGACTTGTTAACCTTACCAAGGACGACGCCGATGCTGATGATGGCCACTATAACGAGGACGGCGGCGGCTCCGACGCAGGTCTTTCGCCGGAATACCTTGCCGTAGGCTTTGATGGACTTGATTGAGTCCATACTGGTGAGAGAGAAGAATGTGGTTTGTGTAGAGATAGAGGGAAGGAAGATGGCTGTGGAAGAATGAGCAGTGTTGGTGTGCTTTTATAGGAGGTGAGTGATGAGAGAGAAACAAAGGGGACTCCTTATTTCCATTAATAAAACAACACTAAGGAAACTCTAATCATATGGTATGTATATTTCATAGACAAAAATACCTCCCTTCCTTCTTTTAATTAAGACGAAAATGGAAAATATAAAAATTAAAAAAAAAATTAGATGAGAATACGTATTAATGTGTCAAATTAATAAAAATAATTCCCAGTCAGAAAAATGTATGTTCCACGTATTCCTTTAAAAATTATTAGTCCCCATAAGCCATACTTAAATTTTGAGACGGAGGGAGTAAATTTTTTAAGAAAGTGATAGCGAGAAATTATTAGATGGTTCTGGTCTATTGACACTTGGCGGACTAATCCAATGAAAATCTCCAATCATAAAACTTTGTAATTTATTAATATATTTTTGTTAAACTATTTTTTCAATTGGAGAGTTAATTTCTCAGTGATAACCGGAATCGAGCCAATGTATGGCTAGGTGGCCACATGCCACGGCCCCACCATTATGTGGTATTTTTCTTATTTTTTTCTATACATACGAAAAGTTTTATACCATGTTCCCTAAATATTTTTGTTTCTAAAATTATCTCTTAACTTTTTGTTTAAATTCTCTTTTATTCTTCAAATTTTTTTAAAAGAATTATTTATTATTTATTTTTTTCCTCTTCAAGTTCTATCATTTATCTTTCCTTTTTCTTTTTCTACTTCTAAAAATTCTTCTTTTTAACATACATATTTGAATAATTTTCTTCTTTTTATTTTATATTTTATATTTGCCACACACACACACACACACACACACACACACACACATATATATATATATATATATATATATATATTAGTGATCTCTTGCTCCCTCTGGTCACAATAGAAATCCACCTATATTCTTTCCTTTTAATACAAAACTACTATTACTATTTCCAGTTTCTAAATTTAATATTTACCAATATTACTAATTACAATAATAAAAGGTAATTATCAAAAAAAAAAAACTTAATTATACGTATCCTTTTAAAACCTGTTTTTTATATGTATCTCTTGTAGTTATTTGTTTGAGAGAAATAATTTCTAGCGGTGAATAGGATTTTTTTTTTTTAGTAATTACCTTTTTATTGTTGTAATTAGTGGTATTGGGGTAAAATATTATATTTATAAACTAGAAACAGTAATAGAGGTTTTGTATTAAAAAGAAAGAATATTGGTGGGTTTCTATCTAACTGTTAATTTTCCTTCAAGAAAATTTTCTAGTGTTCGTTAGATAGAGACGTGATTTACACTTTCCATCTTTTTTTGGCAATTAATTTTTATTGTTGTAATTATTGATATTGGTAAATATTAAATTTGGAAACTAGAAATAGTAATAGTTATTTTGTATTCAAAAGAAATAATATACGTGGATTCAAAATTAGATCTTCTTACTCAAGGAAGAGATCACTACTATATATATTGCACAATTATATTTTATATAGTAGTGATCTCTTGCTTAAGAAAATTTATCCGCACTTTCTATAGAGACCATTAGATCTAATTTAACTCGATAGAAACCTACCTATATTCTTTCATTTTAATACAAAACTACCATCACTGTATCTAATTTCCAAATTGAATACTCCGTATTTACCAATACCACTAATTACAACAATAAAAGGTAATTACCAAAAAATATATATATAAAAAACTCTTCGTTTTTGAAAATCACATCTCTCTCAAACAAAGACCTATAAGAATATTTTCTCATCCTCCATACAAATTGATTTTGCAAGTTCTTTATATCCTTTCTCCCGCTTTAATCTTAAGTTCTAATTCTTACAAAACTGCCACAAACTATTCCCTAAATCGTTTAGCAATTTCATACACAACAAGGAAATTAAACTACCGACATATGAAACATCTCAAATTTATTTTTTTTTGCACAAAACTTTATCCCATAAATTTCAATGGATTAAATTTATATTTTTAATTTTTATTTGTCCCTTGTAGTTATTTGTTTGTAATTTTCAGAGGTAAAGATGTTTCAATTTTTTTTTGGGTAATTATATTTTATTGTTGTAATTAGTGGTATTGGTAAATATTAAATTTAAAAACTATAAATAGTAACAGTGGTTTTGTATTAAGTTAGATTATTAGATTTAATGGTCACTATATAAAATACGAATGAATTTTCTTACTCCACGAAAAGTAAAAGATCACTTACTCAAATATAAATCATATTTTATATTTATCATATTTATATAATAATCGGACTTTAAAACAATTTCCTTTAAGAAGAATTTGAACCAATAATTTTACTTTATAGTGAATGATTCGACCACTTAATCAATCTTTGTGGTTAAAAATAAAAAGAGATTTCTAACTGAAATATTTTGTTACACTTTTACAAGTTAATTCAGTAAAAAAAATAAATAAATAAGGAAAGAATATAAGAAAGAAAGTAACATTGTGCTTGGAATGTTAGGATTTAGGGGGATTTCGAATTTAAAATGGAATTTTTAGTGTTTCGATTCAATTGTATAAGATTTGGAATACAAAAAAGATGGATCCTCTGTGGTATCCGGTACATGCTGTACCCGGAACCGACGTAGTTTTATAAAGTAACTCAATATAGTGACCGGTTTTTTTTTTCCTTCTCCAGTGAACTTGCTCTAATATGTTACTGTAAATATTAAGGTAAAGTAAATATATGCAGAGAAAATATAGACAAAGACACCTCTTGAAGATTCAAAAATGGATAAAGATATCCCTTTACATGAAAAATTGACCAAATTACCCTTTGACGGTATATGAGACTTTTTTAACTTTACCATTTAATAAATTTGACCATTCTACCCTTATGAACAATTTATGCATAAAAAAAAGTAAAAGAAAAAACTTTATATTGTTCACTTTTTTTTTTTTTTTTAAATGTAGACGTCTAAAATGATTTTTTGATCCAATACATATATTTCAAAGAAATTATATTTTGTTATTACTTCTTTTCTTTTCTTTTTCTTTTTTATTTTTAAATTAAGATGCTTAATTCTTTTATCTAAAAAAATTAAACCAATCTCTTTTCCTTAAAAATAATAAATATGATATCACTATAACTTTATGCATCTTAAATTATATATTAAATATTATGCATTTCTCAACATAAAAGGGGAAAAAAATAATAAAACAAAGGAAAAAGAAAAAAAAAAGGCATGCATAAAGTTAAGATGCATAAAGTTATATTAATACCTATTTTCTTTTATGTTGGGAAATGTATAATATTTGATATATAATTTAAGATGTATAAAGTTATACTGGTACCATATTTTTTATTTTTAAAGAAAAGAGATTGGTTTAATTTTTTTAGATGAAAGAATCAAATATCTTAATTTAAAAAAAGAAAAAAAAAGAAAAGAAGTAATAACAAAATATAATTTATTTGAAATATATGTATTGGATCAAAAAATTATTTTAGACGTCTACATTTTTAAGAAGTTGGGACATTTATAAAAAAAAAAAAAAGAGTGAATATTGGTCTAATTTATTAAATTGTAAAGTTAAAAAAGTCTCCTAAACGGTTAAAGGGTAATTTGATCAATTTATCATGTAAAGGGGTGTCTTTGTCTACAAAAGAGGTAAGTTTCCTCTGAATGTCCTTTTGCCAATTCTCAAGGGATGTGATTGTATTTTACCCTTAAATATTATATTAAATGTGTTATATATATATATATATGTGTGTGTGTGTGTGTGTGTGTCTGTGTGTGTGCACACACACAGAGAGATACCAAAAATCTTCTTGTACATATTTATTTATTGAGGATGGCTCCAACAAAAATCAGTGTTAATTTTCTAAGAACAGCATCACTAATTTTTTAATCCCAGAACAAGTAATAAAATTTTGATAAAAATAAAAGATGTCTCAATCTCAAAATACATATAAATAATGGATAAATATCTTCTTCTTTTTTTACATTTTCACAAAAGTTGATAATAAAAAATAAAATCTACTGTGGTGAAAAATATCGAAACAACATAAATATAGAGGTTAAAACAAAATTACACGTATTTGTACAAATATTTATTGCCAATACTATGAATTCATATTGGCCCAGTAAAATCAATTTGAACAAATTTCAATTCTTTTAACCGAACTTAACTTGAAATTCACAACAATACTTATAACTATTTTCACCGCCACTAAACCCACATTTCAACACACTTGTTGCTACTAAAATCTTTAATTGGAATCAAGTTTAATTTTTTTATTTTTTTACCTCAACTCATTTAATCTTGTTTTCACCACATTTATTATTCAACTCAACACATTTAAATCTTGTTCTCACCATATTTATTCTTACCTTCAACGCCCTTAAATATTATACTCAACACATTTATTCTTTATCTCAACACTCTAAAATCTTATTTTCACTACATTTATTCTTCAACTCAACTCAACTCACTTCAATCTAAATCTTGAATAAAGGGCGTTGAGTTGAAGAATAAAGGTGGTGAGAAGAAGATTTAAGGGTATTGAGTTAAAGAATAAAGGTGATGAGAATCAGATTTAAGGGTGTTGAGTTGAAGAATAAATGTGGTGGGAACCAGATTTAAGGGTATAAATGTATTGAGAAGAAGATTTAAGGGCATTGAGTTGAAGAATAGATGTGGTGAGAACCAGATTTAAGGGCGTTGAGTCGAAGAATAAAGGTGGTGAGAAAAAGATTTAAGGGTGTTTAGTTGAAGAATAAATGTGGTGAGAAAATGGTTTAAGGGTGTTGAATTGAAGAAAAAATGTGGTGAGAATCAATTTTAAGGACGTTAGAGTTGAAGAATAAAAGTGTTGAGAAGAAGATTTAAGGGTGTTGAGTTGAAAATAAATGTGGTGAGAATCAGATTTAAGTGCATTGAGTTGAAGAATAAATGTGGTGAAAAGAAGATTTAAGGTCGTTGAGTTGAGAATAAATGTGGTGTGAACCAATTTTAAGGACGCTAGAGTTAAAGAATAATGGTGTTGGGAAGAAGATTTAAGGATGTTGAGTTGAAGAATAAAGGTGTTGGAAAGAAGATTTAAGGGTGTTGAGTTGAAGAATAAATGTGGTGAGAACCAAATTTAAGGGCGTTGAATTGAAGAATAAATGTGGGGAGAAAAAGATTTAAGGGCGTTGAATTGAAGAATAAATATGGTGAGAACCAATTTTAAGGGTGTAAGGGTTGAAGAATAAAGGTGTTGAGAAGAAGATTTAAGAGTGTTGAGTTGAATAATAAAGGTGTTGAGTTGAAGATTTAAAGGTGTTGAGTTGAATAATAAAGGCGTTGAGAAAAAAATTTAAAGGTGTTGAGTTGAAGAATAAATGTGGTGAGAACCAATTTTAAAGGTGTTGAGAATAAGATTTACGGGTATTGAATTGAAGAATAAAGGTAATGAGAAAAAAAGATTTAAGGGTGTTGAATTGAAAAATAAATATGGTGAGAACCATATTTACAGATATTGAGTTAAAGAATTAAGAATAAGATTTAAGGTGGTTTAGTTGAAGAATGAATGTGGTGAGAACCAAATAATATGATTTAAGAGCATTGAGTTGAATAGTAAATATGGTGAGAACCAAATTTAAGGGCCGACAATGAAACGCAGAATAAATGTGTGGATGGTCAGATTTAAGGGCGTTGAGTTGAAGAATAAACGTTGTGAGAATAAGATTTAAAGACGTTAAATTGAATAATAATTATGGTGAGAACCAAATTTAAGGGCGAGTTAGATAATATATGTAGTTAGAATCAGATTTAAGGGTTATTGAGTTAAAGAATATACAGGGAAAAACAAAATTTAAGAGCATTGAGTTGAATAATAAATGTGGTGGCAGCACTTTTAAATATATTGAGTTGAAGAATAAACAGGTTTGTGAATCAAATTTAAGAGAGATAGAATAGAAGAATAAATGTGGTGAATATGATTTAATGGCATTGCGATAAAAGAATAAATATGGTCAGGTTATGAATGTTGTAACAAATGAGGAGAAAAAAATTTCAAGAGCTCCCCTTTTGTATTTTGAGATATCGAAATCCATGGACAAGTAGGCGCAATAGACTCCTAATGCATGTGAAATTGAGTACCGTGTTCCTTCACATTCACAATCTTACCAAACACCAGAACTGTATTTTGCACCAAATTTCACCAAAAAATTGAAGACCATAACAAATTTTAATATCAATATACACCATGTCTCCTCTTATGTTTAATTTCTTAAAATCTTTTTCAATTACTTCATCCGATATAAGTTTTGGTCGTCCTTTTTGTTGCTTCCCTTCTAGGCAAACAAATCTTCCTCTTCTAACCAATGGATGCTTGGTCTATGCCGTGTATGAGTTTACCACCCAAGTCTTCTTTCTCTAATGTTATTAGTAGTAACACTATTATTAGCCTAACATGACAATCAAAATTTTGGAGAAAATTAGCACTTGACTATATAGCATACATTTAATAGCTCAGAAAGCTTATAACTAGCCATAAGCTAACCGTACCTGAACAAACCGTGAGTTTAAATTCTGTCCAAAATGGCCGGATGGTCACATAGTGCAAGAACCTAATATAAGTGTGACCATAATTAGAAAGTGCTTAAGAAAGTGAGGAACAATATTCAGGCAACAGATCAACCTCCTAGTTCAGGTGTTGTGTTCAATCTTCAACAATTCAGATTTCTTCATCAATCTATCAAGAAATAAGAGGTTATGAAACATGGTTTTCAAGGTTTAATGAGAAGGAATTGTTAGTTAATCATATCCTAAACCTAAAAGTGCCCAAAAAAGTACCAAACTGCCTGCATCCAAGTATGCATTTAAAGCTAAAATTGTAAAAACAAAAACAAAGAGAAACAAGAGTACCTCATCGAAGGGATGAGAGCCTGGCTTTGCTTGTAATTCTTCCCGCAATCTCTGTGACAACACATCGCATAGAGTACCCCAATAAGCTGAATATATTGTAGAAATTACATGATAAGATGCAGCATATCCAAATACTTAACCCTCAAATTAATTTCTCTAGGGGCAGCCTTTGTTGTGAGTGTATGTCGTTGACTATGCAGAGTCCATGAAATCATGAAAATTAGTTTTACAGATTCTAGTTATCACGTTTTAGGTATCTTACCTTCGCCACGGTGACAATCTCACCACGAACAGCATACTCACACTTCAAGACCTGGAATAAAAGGAAAAATAGGTGATGAAGATGTACAGAATCACTATAAATTCAGTAAGCAGAACTAGTTAGAAAAATCAGGACCAAAACCAGATAATTAAGTCCTTGTTCAACAAGCTTAATCCATTAGATTAAACAGAGACCTTTGTTAGAAAATGCTTAGACTCGATCACAAGTATCGAGAATTGGTAAAGAAATTCAAAATTTTCTATAGCACTCAAAAGAGGCGGCTTCATCCCCATAACATGTGTCATTCCGGTAGCAAGCTTGGAATCACTTCCTCAATTCTCAGTTTGCTCAATATGCCAGCCCACCAACTACACCTATCATGGCTTTTAGGACATCAGTTAGTGGGGGAACTGTTCTCTCTGTAATCTCTCTCTTGATGTATAAATCATATACTTTCTTCTCCTGTTAATAGGAAACTATACCTCTATTGCAGCAACATGTTCCATTCAAATTGAAATTTAACTGTCACATCTTCCAAGGCATTTTTAGGCCCGAATTTAAAGGGTTCGGGCACCATAAGTTTAAATGCTCCACGTGTCCGCACATAAGATTGCACTTATAAGTTTCATTTTGACTTTATTTTGCTTGGGTAATCTTTATTACCAAAAGATAAATGGTGGTACACATGGGTTAAATTGATTTAGATTATGCAGAAAACTAATATTATTTCAAAGGATTCAAAAAATTTAAAGTCAATTTATTTTGATAAGAGTCCTAAATTAGTTTGTGAAATATCAGATTATATCTAATTAATTTTATGAATTAAATTTTCATAAGCAGCCTAATAGTTTTAAATTTTCTTTCATCCCGATGTGAAATTAAGATGAACATCCAAACATATCCCAGATGGTACACAATGGCCGATAAAAAAATGCTGTCATAGTATGCTTTTTGGTTGGTCAAATTGTTTATTTTCACTTCCTTTTGCAGCATGTGAATAGTATTTCTAATGGAATTTCAACAACAGACCTTTCAACTAAAAAAATCAATAGTAACATGAGTATTAAATCAATAGTAAAGAAAGAAAAAAAATAAAAATGGCTAGATTTAGGGTTAAGAAGAGTATAATATATATATATATTATAGGTAGGAACACATCACATCAAATTCAGGGATAATGTGAACACTCCTAAGTAGTTAATAAAGTTTTAGGCAATATTACATGGACATAAGCATGGGTCAAGATTTGGACACATGGTATTGAAGTTACAAAATCTCCAAATTTATTGACATACAAAATAAATAAATAAAGGAAATAACGTTTTTGTATCATACAGTGATCAAATTGATTGGAGTTTCATTTTTCAGTAATAGTGTAACAAGCAAAACATAATAAGAGAATTGTTTTATGTAAAATTTTTATATTAAGATCCTGTTTGTTTGAGAGTAAAATATTTTTCTTGTAAAATGTTTTTTTATGTAATACTTTTTTATGTAGAATGTTTTCTTTATTTTTTATTTTTCAATATTTGGTAAAGATTTTAATTTAAAATAATGATAAGAAAACCAAAACAAGTCTGGCTTTATCATAGAATGCAACAAGTGAGTTATTATTATCATTATTAATATTAATAATGATAATAATGATGACAAAAATATATATATAATAATAAAAGCAGATTTATGGTTGTTGTTAAAGAAGAAATTGGGCTGATACTTCTAGCCCCATAATAGGTATAGGGCTTATTGGCTATTATTAATAATAATAATAATAGTTGAACCTAATAATAATCAAACCCCACAAAAGTTTTATTTATGTCCCTATGATGTGATAACTAAAAAGAGTTGCAACTCTCTCTATAAGCCTGGCTCATAGAACACGTATTTTGCAGGCAGCCAATGGCTTCCCTGGAGAAGGGCTTCCACTGTGTACATCTTGGCCTGGTCTATTGTCAAATTTTTATTATATCCAGCCCATTTAACCCTATCAGTTGTATTCGCTCCCAGGCCGAAATTATTGAACTCGCCGTAGAAAATGGTCTTGGGTGGTGCGGCACCACCTTTGACCCATTCGATCCAGCCCGATCTGTTCACGAATGACCCAATATAGGTCTGCATTATTACCGTGATGGCGTGATCCTTCCAAGGCCTGCCAAGGTATGTTTGGGCAGTGAGCTTGTCCAGGGGGGTGATGCTACACTTTTGAATAGAAATGCCTGATTTCATATTAGGATCGGTATGTCCGGCAGCTGTTATGGTCACATATTGATTCTCCATGGGCTGCCTGGGCTGGATTTTGCAGTTCTGGAAGACAACTGTGGCGTGTCCGAATATGAAGTCGACGGTTCCGGTTATGTCACAGTCGCGGTAGAATTGAACTTTGGAATGGGCGTAGAGAGTGTCCTGGAAGCCATCAAAGGAGCACCTGTAGAACACAGAGTGATTGGAACTTGACCTAAGGGCAACAGCTTGGTCCTTCTGTGGCCCAGCTGTGTTCTCGAAGGTAATGTCCTTTGCAAAGAAGCCCCTTCCGTCAGCACCTGATAATCACATACCAAACACTCGGTAACTTAGTTTTCATAATTTGTTGTGGCATTTTTGTTTTTCTCAAGATGGGAATTATATAAATAAAAAAACGGAAAAACTATAGTTAGGAAGTGAGAAGCTACCAAAGGTGGCTGAACTGAAGGTCGTAATCCCATGGCCATCCTTAACGTTCACGCTGTCGGAGATGATGGTCTTTCCCTTGCCATCGCCGTAAATCATCACATTCCACATGTACTTCTCCACTGTCACATTCTCCATATACTTTCCCGCCTTAACATATATCACAAACCTCGTCTTTGACTTCACCGGAATCCTCGCCACCGCCTCTTTGATCGTTTTCACATCTCCACTGCCGTCCTGCGCCACCGTCACACTCGGCGTCAGTTTCGTCTCCTGCAGCAGCCTCCGGTCACCGGCGCTCACCCACTCTGGAAATCCCAGAAGCTTCCGACCTGCAGCCGGAATGTTGTAATCCGAAAGAGTCCCCAAAACCTTGGTCACAATCGCCAAACTATTGCTCGAAAATTCGACCGAATTTTCGATCAAACCGTTCACTTCATGGTACAAAGTGGTGGCGTTCACTTCTTGTAGACCGTCCAAGCAAGAGTCGAGATATGCAAGTGCCGCGGACAACCATGTCCTGGCGTCCTCAATTGTGAACGGCGACAGCAATTTCTCGCCGTCGTTCTCCGCCATTAATGATATCGTATCGTTGAGACTATCGACAGCGTCTTCAAACACTCTCCGACAAACAATCAACGCTTTCTTGGCTGGTTCGTCGCTGATCTTGGAGATCAATGTGTCAGGCAACGCAGACACCTTCACGAGCTCGTTGAGAGCCACGTGCAGAGACAGCTTGAAGATCTCTTTGGGGTCGGTGGTGGGGTTGGAAGCTTCCAGAGCTGAAATGCTCTTGAAGCAAGAATCTGGGTACAGGGTCACGTTACACACCGCCTTGATAGACGCAGAAGGTGTCTTCGGAGAAGCAGAGACTCCGTTGGAATTGGAGTTCTTCTTAACACCATAGATGACGCCGATGATGAGAACCCCTAGAACGAGGGAGCCGACTGTGATGATGGTCTTTCGCCAGAATGCTTGCTTGTCGTGTTCGTCGACCTTGCAGTAGGCTTTGATGGACTTGATTGGGTCCATACTGGTGAGAGAAAGAGAATAATGTGGTTTGTGTAGAGATAGGTTGAAGGAAGAATAAGCAGTGTTGGTGTGCTTTTATAGGAGGTGAGTGATGGGAGAGAGACACAAAGGGACCCGTTCTTCTTCGTACCTTCCATGCTCAGATGGTGACTAATTGATTTGATGTAACCTTCCATTAATAAAACAATACTAATTAAGGAAACTTTAATCACATAGTAGGTATATTTCATAGACAAAAATACCTCATTTCATTTTATTTTTATTTTTATTTTTATTTTTATATTATTTTTTTTTAAAGACGAAAATGAAAAAAAGAAAAATTAATCTGTCAAAATAAGGAAAGTTAATTTGATAGATTAATTTTTTTTTTTTTCAGGGAGAGATAACAGGACGGACTCAATGTAGGGCGGGGGAAGGTGCCTTGGCCTTGCTCCGCCCTTTACAACATACGTGATAATTTTTTGATTTTTTTTCTATACATATAAATTTTTTTATACAATGTCCTTTTGAATGTTCTAGTTTCTAAAATTATCTCTTTTAACTTCTTTTTTATTTTTTTTTTTCTCTTTTATTTTTCAAAATCTTTTAATTTCTTTTAAAGAAATTTTTTTTCTAATTTTTTCCTTTCAAAATTGTCTCATTTATCTTTCCTTATCTTTTTTCTATTTCTTAAAATTCTTCTATTTGACATGCATATCTAAATAATTTCCTTCTTTTTCTTTTATATTTTATATTTGTCATATTATCTAGGGTCAAGTACATTAAAACTCCTTCAACTATACGCTAAATGCAACTAACCTCCCTCAACTACAAATAATCCCCATTAACTCTTGAAGTTGGTTAAGTTTCATGACAGAGAAGGTTTTTCCGTTCCATTGCCGTTAATGAAAAAGTTAAATGACTCTTTTGCCCCTCTCATAAAACTACCTCGTTTCATATGCTATCTAATGAGAGTTGTTGATGTGGCTAATATAATCTCCATTCCTAATAAATAATTGACAACTCATCCTATCACTCCATTTCACACGTTAATAACCAATAAATTAAAAGGTAAAAAATGAGTTTATAATTGCAAAACCCTTTATACTTCTCATCTTCTTTAGCCGCTTCCCAAAACACCCCAACGCCGCCATGAGCACTCCGCTCCTCCAAAGGTGACTGAGTGACTGACCCCAATTAATCTTCTCCTTACTTATTTGCTCTTACATCTAATTTATCATATCTGTCTACCAACACCACCTGCACCATCGTCAGATAAGTGTAAAGCACTATAAATCTACCAGATTTCTCTCCCAAATCAGAAGCACTGTACATCTAGTCTATTATTCACACATTCCAGACTTCTCTGTAAAGCTCTCGCTATCAGAGGCTCAAAAGCTCTAATCTCTGTTGTCGTCATTCCAGAGCAAGTTCGGCAAGTTTAACAACTCCACACCACGCAACCATGGAGTTTCTCCGCTGATGGTTGTTTTCAACCCTAGCGGTTTAAAAACCAACTCTGGGAATTCCCTGAACCCCACAGGAGCTTTCTGGGACCTCAGACACCACAGCACGTGCCCCCACGCGCCCGGCGTATTTAGCCAATTATACTGCTAGCGGTAGGAGAAAAAGAACCAAGGGCGCAAATGGCCATTGAACCAGGTATGATCTCAAAACCATAAGCTTTTGGGGTTACATGTAACCATATTTTTTTTGGTACACAATTTTAAACCATTACGTGTAACAGTTATTTGTTTTCTACACAATTTTTGAAACCCTTGAAACCTGAGTAGTTAAAAGTTTGCAAATAAGGACTTGTGACCCTACCGATATGACATGTGCAACCTCTAACTATGACATGTGCAACTTTTAACTATGTTTTCCCGAGAGTAAAATGCAAAATCACTTGGTGAAGTAAAAAAAACCCAATATCAACTCCTCTCATCATTAAAAGCGCAATAAGAATGAATAATACAGAAGGGTTGCACATCTCATAGCCATGGTTGCACACATTAATACAAAACCACAAGACATGTAGCATAAAAAAGAGTGAACAAATCATTTTATTCATTTTTCATATCAGAAACTACATTTTTCATTGTTGAACGAAGAAACAATGAGATCAAGACTGAGGTTACACCTTTTTCTATGACATGTGCAACCTTTAACTATGATATGTGAACCTTTATCAATTTATGTTTATCATAATATGTGCAACTTTATGTGCAATCTTTATATATCTTTCATGCAATCAAATTTTTCGAAATCAGTTTTTATTGGGTTATAACTCCAATTAGTTTATAGTTTTATTAAATTTTGTTATCATAAAATTATTTATTTTATTTGTGAGTTGCCATCATTTTTCTTTATATTGTTGAATATTTCTTCTAGAAAGTACATAGTCAATTAGCTAACGACACCCTAATAAAAATCGGAAAACTCCATAAAATGAAAAATGCCAAAAATCGGAAACATTACAGTGTGCCAATCAAGGACAGATCAGGAAATTATATGGATGTTACACATGTTTAATATTTATTTATTTATTTCTAATTTTAAATTCAATCCGCCATTCGATATTCCTAAACATATCTTTGAAATGAATCATATTTGACTCATATCCCATTCTGTTGCCCTCTTATGAAACAAAAGACAAATCACATTATGTAATACCCTAGTTTTCAAAATGATAAAATGGGAGTTTAAATTTTGTTTTTTATTGCATTTTTATTTACTTATGTGACTTATGTGTTTTTCTTAATTGATTAAATTGGGTTTAATGAAATTTATTGTTAAATTGTATTTGTGTAAATGAACCATGCCATTTGTAAATATATTTATTTATATACTAGTAATTCAACCATTTTCATTTTTGGGTCGAATATAATAATCAAATTTATTGGTGCGAGAATTTGGCCGGAGAGACAGAGCTTCGACAATCGCAAACTTGGTCCGATGATGTGGGATGGATAGTGTTTTTTCGAGAAAGGCCTTTTAAGTTGAGTTAATCATTAAAATCTCTAAACCCCAAATCAATTAATTTTGATTTTATAACAAATATAATCATGAAAATAGTTTTCAAGGTGGACTTGTTTTCTTCTTGCTGTTGTAATTGAGCTTTGGTGATAAGCTTCAATGTTGATAAAATTATGATTGTTTTCCTCTACCAAACACCGTCAAACTCAATTGAAACCACAAACCCACACACCACAAATCGTCAAACCCAATTGAAACCAACCCACTGCCACAACCACCATCATCGTCAATCTCAGATGGAGTTTGATAAGGGTTTGATAAGAGTATTGATCTGTGGGGTTGACATCGTTTTAGTTTTCCCATTTACAGTTTGATAGAGATGCGATACACTGTGATATTGAAGGAGCACCACCACAGATCGATGAAGGAAGAAGGGCAATGAGTGAAGTAGGGGAACTTATGCGTTAGGGCTTGTTTGGTTACTAACAGTCTTTCAATGGCACGTTATGGTCTCTTACATTTGATTAGGGTTGTATGGTCATTTAGGGTATGTTTGGTACGGTGGGTTTGAAGGGGGAGGATAAGATTAATTATGAGGGAAAGGGAAGGGAAGGGAAGGATAATTTTAACCCTTCATTGTGTTTGGTTGGTTAATGAAGGAAAAGAAAGGGAAGGATAATAATTATGTTTGGGAAAAGAAAGGAAAGGGAAGGATGATAATAAATTTACTATTATACCTTTATTATATATATATATATATATATATATATATATATATATATATATACCTGCATACAAAAAAAAAAGAGGCAAATCATTTCAGCTCCCCAGTCTCGCCTCTATCTCCATTATATATCTATATATATATATATATATATATATATAATAAAAGGAAAGAAACAAGAAAAGGAAAGAAAGAACAAAGGCGATCCAGATCTAGCTGTAGCGACCTTCGTTCTTGAAGGTTCCGATTCAGGGCAAATTGTTTCAGCCTCCCCAATCTTGGCCTCCATCTCTATTATCGTTCTCAACCCTCTCTCTCTCTACAAGATTCAGAAGTTCAAAACCCAAACCCATATATTTCAGTTTATCTTTCTGTCTGCAAGAATCAAAAATTCAAAACCCGAATCAGTATATCAGATTGTTCAGAAAATCAAAACCCATATCTTTCAAGTTTCCATCGCCGCTGTTCCAGTTCGGGTTCGCCATAGCCGCTGTTCCAGTTCGGGTTCGCCGTTGCCCGCCGTCTCTCCATTCTTTCTGCAACTGCTATTTTATATGTATATTGATTTGAGGGTAAAATTGGCATTATCAACCATTGCCTTCCCTTTCCTTCCATTTCCTCCCATTTTTGGGAGGTTAAACAAATCACTGTAGAAGGCTATACATAACCCTCCAAACCCTTCCCTTTCCTTCCCTTCCCTTCCCTTCCACCCATTTTACCCAACACACAGTTTTTTAGTTACCCTCCATCACCTTTTCCCTTTCCCCTTTCCTCCTATTTCCACTCGACCAAACTGAGCCTTAGATAAATATGGGCTCTCACGTGCAAGGCAGGTGTTAAAAACTGATCGACCGGTCGTCAAATTGGGTAAACTGCAACCAAACAACATAGTTTGGGGAGGTTTTCTGCTACTCTAGAAATTCAGGGAGGTTTTGTGCTCATTGTGATATAGTTGAGGGGGGTTTATTGCACTTTACCTTATTATCTATATCTATACTATTATTAAAAGTGTAACTGCGGTCAAGAATTTGAAATTATCATTATCTAATAAAAATAAATAAATAATAAAAATAAGTTAATCATAAATTACCAATTAAAATATAAAATGAGAAGAATTTCAAATTATCATTACCAATTAAAAATAAATAAATAATAAAATATGGTAATCATAAGTTACCACTTAAAATACAAACATAAGTTACCAAATAAAATTCAAACAATAGTTAATAATTAAATAAATAAAATAATAAAGTTAATTTTAATATTATTTTAGGTGTTTTAAAATACATCTTTCAATAATTGAATTCCTATTGAAAAGTTC